CCCCACAAACACTAAATTACAGTTGTTGGTTTTACACATAGGGCTAAAACCTAATGCAGTTTGCTTGATTTTGGCTTAGCACATTGTATGAACCCAGACATAATTGTTGGTACTTCATGGATTATCTCCCAGCATGTTGCATGAATGTGACGTTATGATTTAGGCAGTAAATCATGGCTTGGGGCAGTTTTCAAACCAAGCCACAAAATGCACTCAAGCCAACTTAAGATGTCATTGTATGTGAAAAAAGCTGATTTTTTAAAGGTAGAGAATGGTGGGAGTTTGGACTAACACATCTGGAGGACGCCAGTTTGGGGAATGTTCCCCTGATGCATATTTCCAATCTCCAATCTCCTGAGGTTATTTGTGTGAAATAAGTGAAACTCTGGGCTCACCCATGACATTTGGTTAACCGTGGCTTATTCAATAAACGACATTGGACTGAATTTACGCTACATAATAAACCATCCTGAGGTGAGTACCAAATTCTTGTGTAGTATTTGAGGCAGATGGACTCAAACACTGCCCAGTCTCCTCATCCTGTGTCTGTGGGTTTTGAATCTGGAGACTGTTATGCTGCAATTTGAAAATGATGATGCAAAGTCCTATAGCATACGTCTGGCTTGTTAAAAAGCATCACACGCAGACATTAGCTTTTCCTTCACACGTGTGTGCTTATGAGCCTAAGAGCTCCATTTCTTCTAGGAATGACACAAGACAGATGCAGATTAAAATTGTGAATAGGAGAAAAAGGAGATTAAGGAACAGCAGTGACCACAAAGTGCCTTACACTTTATTTGGTAGTGTGCTTCTGTTCTGCTGGGACTCCTGACTCTAAAAGCTCTCTGCCTTTGGTCCTACCCTCCCTGACTACCCTCCCCCAGACAGTCCTAGGGTGCAATTTGGGGGTCTTCTTGCTCCTGGAAGAGCAGGTAGCACAAATCCATTTTTTTTTCCTGAGCCAATTGTACCCATTTCTGTATTAGGAGTCCCTACTCAAAGTCACTCATGCTCTAGACCTCTTCTATCTAGACTACTACAATTGTCCTCTCAATTGGTTCAGAATGCAGCAACGCAAGTAGTTGTGGATGCAACTCCATGTACCTATGTAATTCCACTGCTTCAGAAGCTGCACCGCCTCCCTGTAAGCTTCTGGGTGCAACTGAAGGTGTGGTTATCACATATAAAGCCCTTTGTGGCATAGAGTCCCTTACTTGAGGGACTGCTG